CTCCTGCCCCCCACCCCCCCTCCCAAGCGCACAAGCCGTAGGATTCAACAAAACCTCACTATCCCCCCAAGTCTCCTGCTTAATCCCTCCCTTCCCCTCAAGCCCCCGAATCCGAACCACATCCACCGGATGCGTCGCAATCCACGCATTCCCCTCCCCATCAACAGCTATATCATCATACACCAAGCCCTCCCTCATCGGCCTGGCGAGAACCTGCACGTCCCCCGTCTTCTCGCCGCCACGAGAGATGGGCACTCGTCCAAAGAGGCCCTGGGCTGAATTCGTGAAGTAGAGGAATTGGCCTGCAGCCTGTAACCCGTTGATTCCTAGATTCGACCCCGGCGTTGCGTTGACGGGTTTGAATAAGGGATCTGAGAATATGATTGTGGAATTTCCTGTTTGGAGGTTGATTCTCCATACCGTGCCTGCTGCGGAGTCCGCCGCGAGGAGGATGTGAGGTGCTGTGGGGAGGGTCGTGATGCCGTTTATGATGGTGGTATTTTGAACCGTGGTGACTCTTTTGATGATAGGCGGCCTATGTATCCGCCTCAAGTCGACGGTCCAAACGATCAAGGAACCGGGTGTTACGCGGGTGTTTGCTAGATCGATGATTCCTGTTGTTACGGCGAAGATATCTGGTGTTGATTCTGTGATTCCGATGAGTCCCGTTGCTAGCTCTGAGGGGAAGGTATGTACGGTTTCTACTGTGGCGGGGGAGACGAGGGGGTTTATCGTGGAGAGGGTGAGTGTGGACATGGATGTTAAGAGGATCTTAGAGTTGGAGCGGATGGCGATGTTTTCGATGAAGATGCGGGGTGGGAATGTGTGGATGGGTGTTATTTGTATTGCTGAGGCTATAGATAGATGGAGATGTAGAATCAAGAGGGAGGGGGAGGAAATGTGCATATTGATGAGTATTCAGGTGTTGCCGAGGAGGAATTTTTTAATATAGAAATGTTAAATATGAAGTATCTCGCATCTGTTAACAGCTCTATATAGTAAAGCGGTACGAAATATTCATTACAGATTCATCGGACTTTTATAATGGTCATCGCATGCATTCCTTGGTATCCAATAATAAGACCTCCCAATACTGCGAACCCCCAAAGCGGGATAGTTAACCGAAAACTTTCAAAATTCATTGGTGTTACAGTAGGTAGTGGGGTTGCAGTGTAGTAGTGTCTCTCGGTAATATGCCCCTTTTCGGCTACCACACATTACATGTGGCTGCAGGTGGGTAACGCAATGAGATTATACTCGTGCCTAAGATGTTACACTTCTGGCTCAGGAGGTAATATTTATTACTTGGTCTTGGCATTCAATTGAACTCGTAATTTTCTTTTAGAATAATAGAAATTGATGTAAGTATTAATCGTAACATCTAGCGCTAAGGTTTAGTAAAGGAGATGGCCGTCTATAGCTATAAAAGAGGGCCTCATAGTTACTATAAACAACAGAGGTAATAGTAATGTAACTCACGATTTCTTCTTTCCCAGTCTTTTTATAATTCCATTAAATCGAACAACTATTAAACTCTTGATCGATGACTCGCATGTAAAAACACCGAGGGATACTAATGCGTTAATGAATACTTCTCCTAAATTTTAATACTATAAGTATAACACGATAGCAAATAGTGGTATGTTACTCGTAACGTAGTTTATTTTGACAAATTTGGGATCTCTTGCGAGAGTCGCATGTAGTATCGGAAAAGGGGGACAGTCATATAACAAACATTTCCAAGGGGAATCTAGCACATATATATTATTAGTATAATATGATTATCATTATTTAGAAGAGGATTAGACTATAAATCAAAAATAATTATAGTAATTAACTAGATAATAGTTATACTAAGAGAATATTACTTCTAAGGGTTTTAATACTAATAAAGTATAACTTATATTAAACTTATAGTATAAGTAAGATAGTTATCTTAGAATACCTAGGTGTCACGAATCACGTGCTCACGTGATACTTGTCATAATAAGAGGCGCAACCCTCGGCAGGCACACCCAGGTTTCTTATAGCAGAAAGGGATCCTTAGACCAGCTAAGCGATCCAGGGATTTTCATTGATTGGAAATGTCACGTGACCTGGATCTTTTGGATCGTAATGATCCACGATCCAGGAGCGTAGATCTGCATGATCCAGTACGATCCACGA